TATATCCCAGTAATAAAAACCTTTGGGGATATAAAACTGGGCCACCTATATGTAAAATTCTGTTAGGAACAATTTTACTTAGGCAGCCAAAGTAGGTTTATTTAATAAAAAATTGAGAAAAGAGTAATTATGTTTAGAGAAAATTTGGTACAAGTGATTATCAGGAAGAGTTAATGATTTGCATCTAATATAATAAAAACTTATTTTTTATAAAAATGTAAAAATGTATTATTTTTATTGTCTGTATTCTATATATTATATCTATATCTTTTATTTATTATTATTTTTTTTTAATGTTAAAATAATCTTTTTAGATTTTAATTTTTATTAACACTTTTATAATAATTTTGTTTTATGAACTATTTTAAAAAGAATATACAATTAGTTATATTTAACTTTTCTATATTACCTATTTAAGGAGTTTATTTGAAGTTTTTTACTAATTGCTATATTTAATACTTATGCTTGAATCAGTACAAGAAATCTTTACTTTTACTAAAAAGAAAAACAACATCTACTTACCTATCTTTCAACCTTCAAACCTTAATAATACTACTTTTATATTCAATACTAATATAGATCTTCTTATTTCTAAAATCTTGTTTCAAAATTTCACTATATATACTTGTTTTTATTAATTAAACTATTCTTAAAGATTTTCCTTTTACTCTTTTCTGTAGTTAATAATTAATATAAGTTAATTTAACTAATAACAGAAAATAAAAGAATAATATTACACTAGATGTTGTTAATATATATAGTAACAATAGTGTAGTTTAAAAATAATATTTAGCTATATATTTATATTCAATTGATATACTCATATATTTTTATTTTCTCTACTTGATATTATATAAATAAAAAAAAAAAAATTTATACTTGAGTGTTTTATTTTAAATTTTTTGAACTTGCAAATTGTGTTAACAATACTGTTATATTCAGATTATCATCTTAACTTTAGAACTATTTATTCTCAAAGTAAACTTCTTGAAGCCTTCTATACTTATTTTATAACTGATTTGATATTATTATAACAAAACTAATACTTGCAGTCTAAGCTAACCATTAAACCTTTATGCTTTTACAGAGTTTATTTAAATTTTAGTATTATCTCATAGCATATTTAAAATACTTTAGCATATTCTGCATTGTTATCAAACTCTTAATTCAGATAGCCTAATAGAAATACAATTAGTCTATTAAAATATTAAAATGCCTTAATATTCTTTTTTTAGTTTATTTTGGTAGCCTAATTGGTAGTACTTTCTATTTAGAAGTTCTTGCTTATCTGGTTTTTTTATATTAATATCTATTTTATAAGACTAGCCTTTATAATAGTATTGTTAAAGATTTGTAATACTTTTCTGTTTAGGTTTTTCTAAATATATTTTTTGTTTTTTAATTTCAACTGATTTATACAGTTACAAGAACTTATCTAAAGTTTGCATTATCTAATGCTGGTTTGCATTTCTTTGTATAACTAATTACACAGATGTTATAACCTGTCAGTTATACTAATAAGTACTCTAGCCATAATAAAAAATGTCTGATTATATAATAATGCTTATCTGACTTGATCCAATCAAATTCAACAATTTGTCTATTATATACTTGTTACTTTTATTATTATTGGACCTTTCTAAAATTAATTTTTTATATACATATTACTTATTAAAAAATAGCTATATAAAATGCTTAGTCACAAGATACTTATATTAATGATCTGTGTAAATCATTGTCATATATATCTACTTATTGCTTTAACATCAATGTTAAAGGATAGTATCTCAAATTAGCATCAATTTAGAAAAGCTTATTATAAATAAAGTTTTAAGTCTTGTTAATTATAATAGATTGTAATATGAAAAAAATAATTCAATTTTTTCTCAAAGTTCAATTTTCTTTTATACTTTTTACTATTTAACAAAAGTTTATTTTAATCATTTTTCTAAGTATTTAAAAATTATTATTACAAAAGAAGTTATTTAAAAGCATATTTAAGAGAAAAACTTTAAGTCACTTAATATTTTGATAATAAAAATATATTTTTAATTTATATTTTTCTAATATTTATTTATATTAATTTTAAGATATTATATATATTTATTTTACAATAAAAATTTAAATTCTAAGATCATGCATAAAGAATCATGTTAGTATAAAAAATTTTTTGATCTAATTTTATAATTTTTAATATAGTAATTGTTTGTTAATTCTTTTTATAACAAACTAATAGTTTTGAAAAGAAAAAGTCTGTTATGAAAAATTATTATATACTCTTAAGAGTCTATAGCACTTTCTATACTGAACTAAAATAAAACTTTAAAATTGAGTAAATTAGATTCATTATATCTTGAATTCATTATATAAAGGTTCATAATTAGTTGTAATTATAATTCTTATTAATTGGTCTAATTATATAAATATTATTATATATTTAATAAACTGAACTTTTAATTAATGCAACCAAGCAGAAAGTTTTTCTTTTAACTTTCAGATAGTTTGTTGTTTATAAGCTTTTAATACTTTTTCATATTTCTTAATTTTTTTAATAGTAGTGCTATTAATATATCAAAATTATTAATAAAATTATTATTATTTATCTCTTGCTTATATAATTCTAGAGCTGTATTAAACTTTTTTTATATAGAGCATATTTCTCTTTTCTTTTCTTTATTATATTATAATTTGTTATTAATGCATTTTGCAGATCATTTGATTCAATGCTAACTTTATTAAGATTATCCAGTATAAGTATCTAGTTCAAGAGTTGTTTATTAAATTAATAACAAGCATTTTATCATTACCAAAAATAATTAAAAGGTAATCATATTGACAAAATGTTTTCAAAAAAGTTAGTAAAAATTGATTACTATTTTTTTTATATATTAGATGCTTACAAAGATAATAGCAACTATTTAAATATATAAGACAAGAGCATATCCAGTTATCAATATTAATATAATATCTTTCTTATATGTCAAATTGAATATCAGCTATTGCTGCTTTACATCATTCAGCTTTGAACTCATGCCATCATGCAGAAAAAAATCAATTTCTATTATATTGAATTAATTTAATTTCAAAGTTTGGAATGAGCTATTCAGTTATAATTTGAGTAAGTCTATCTATTTATAGACAGTTATAGTTATATTTGTAATTATATTTAAGAACTCTCTAATGACTTTCTGTAATCATAATAGTACACGCAAAAGATATAGCTTGTGAATATGAAGACAAAGCAAAAAGCTTTCAATTCTTTTCGTTATATCAGTTTAATTATAAATAACTCTATAATCTAATGAAGTTATGTAAATAGCAAAACTAATACAATTTTTAAACACAAAAATAATAAATCTAACTTAAAGTTAAATAAAATTTTTTTAACTGAAATAAGCAAATATATAGATAAATGTTTTTTAACTATATTTAAAATATGATTAATATAATTATTTGAACAAAGAGATTCAGCACCATTTTGAACCCATAATGAGTTGATAAACTTAAATTTATTATATGCTTTTAAAGCTTTAGCTTTAGAGTATATACATAATTTTAATTTTTTTTTATCTTTCTATTAATAGCATGCATAACATGCTATTGACAGATTTGAATGCTAGTAATTCACAACCAAGCCTCACTAACAGAATATATTTTTTCTGCATCTTTGTCTATTAATACAAATACTAGTTACAGTTTTTTATTGTGAAAACTAGTAAAAAATATACATAGTGCTTCAACTCAAGTTTTTATAAAATTTATTAGATTATTTCTTGCTACCTTTGTACTATCAGAAGTAGACAAGTACATATATGCTATTGGCATACCATATCTACAGCAGTTTAGATTTACAACAAATAATTCAAATCTCTCTTAGTTTGTTTTAAATATTGAGTCTATAATTATTTTAGTTGCATTTTTAATACCAACTTGTCTAAATAATAATGTCAAAAATTCCAAAGCATGCACAAAACCATTTTTAATATAGATAAGAACTTTAAATTCTTTTTCTATAATTTAGATTGTTTAAGATATAGTTTTGCAAATAAAAATAGATTATCTTAATTAATTATATATATACTTTTATTATATTTATATATTCAGTAGTATATCTGATCAATCATATAAACTTTTGGATTAATGAGTTTACTTATACAAAGCCAACAAAATACTTCAGTATACCTTATATTAGATGAAATATTTTGTTGAATTCATTCTTTTGCTTCATTAAAAAACATTATTTGTTGATAAGTTGGTTTTTTATATAATACATAATGTTGTCCTTTAACTAATACATATTGCTCTTCTGAAATAATAATAAAGTTTATATTGCCTATATATACATATCTTTCTATAGATATATGAGCTTTATTTTGTCTTTAGATAGTTGGTTATCTGGTCTTTTCTAGTCCTAATCATTTTACATTGTGCAGCTAAGATATATTGTTACAAAACCAGAGAATTTTTTGTTTCAGGTGTTTAAATATACTTTACATATTTTCCAGTGGTAACTAGAACCAAATTCAAGTAACACAATAAGTATATGAGCAAGTTGACAAAAATTACTTTTAATTATTTTTAAATCTTTGTTATTATTTAAGTCAAGTGGAGTTAAAGAAAAAGCAGTAAAAAGATCATCTTCTATTTTAATTTTATATATAAAATTAGTAGTTTTATTTAATGCTTCTGTTTTATAAACAATTTTTTTGTAATTTCATACACTTCATCAAGATCATATTGTAATATTTTTGAGTTATTGTTATCCAAATCATCATTCAGGTCAACATTTGTATTAATATCTTCATCTTCAACATTATCAAGATGTTTAGAAAATGAGTCTAAACTCTCTGAAATTTTATCTAGATCAGTAATATTTTTATCTTGAGGTATTGCTATAGTTGACTTTTTTATTTGTTTATTTTTTTTAAAAAAAAACATTAATTGTATGTAGCATACAATTGTTGCAAGCCACTTCTAGTAGGATAACAGAACTCAACTACATTTTTTATTTTATTGCAGCTAGTACAATACCCAAGTTTTGGGCAAAACTTTTACTAAAAAAAAAATTTATTTGATTTTTTCATGTTAATAAAAAAATAAATCAATACTAATTAATTTTATTTTATATTTTTACTCAATTTATATCTTGAATAATTTCAGTATTACTTATTTTATAGGTTTAATAAATTGCTAAAAGATCTGAAGAGATATAAATGTGATGTATTTAATAAATATAAGGTCTGTTAGTGTTATAATTTAAGTAATTTTTTTCATAATATAGATTGTATATATTTTATTTATTTAATTAAAAAAAAAGAATATTTTTGTTCTTATTAATCTGATAGGCAAAAAATTATTCTTATTTATATTAAAAAAATTATATTCAATAAAGCTCTATAAGTGCATACTCTTGGGGCTAAACTTTGACTATATACACTTAGAGAAAAGTGCATTTATAAAAGTCATATATATATTTGGACCTAAATTTAAGCATTTATTTAGAGAATGTGTGCATTTATAGAGAGTGCACTTACAAGGCTTTGCTATATATGCTATAATAAAATAAAAAATTTTGAAAATAAAACTTAAATATCTGCAGAAGGTTAGTAAATTATTTATATTCTGCATTTAAAATAAAAAAAATGCTAAACCAACAATTTTAACCACTTATAATCTTTTGTTTATTTAGATAAATTTTAAAAATAACTTTTATATAATTAAAAAAAATCATTGATTTAATTCTACATTTAAGAAAAGAAAAAAAATACTAAACTAACTATTCTATCATTTCAACTAATACTAATTATTTGTCTGCTTGTACCAATTTTGGAATTTCTTAGACATTATAAGAGATTTGCAAATTATTTAATTTTTTTGATTTTAAGAAAAAAAATACTAAACTAACTATTTTTTTGCTCTATTGTTTAAGTATAAACAAATTAAAGGTGTTTAATTTATTATTATAACAAAAAAAAAAGTTAATTTAACAACTCTTATTTCTTTAATTAGGAACATGTTTACATTATTCTATTTTTTTTACACATCTTATACAGACTAAAATATGTACATTGTTTTTTGCTTTTATTAGATGTATTATAATTCTTAATTTTTTAATACATATTAAATTGTTAATACTATTTTTAGTATTTAGTAATTAAATCTATTAAAAGCATAGGCAGCATTATTTATATATAATTGGAACTAATTATTAGGTATTTGATTTTTTTTTAATTTAAACTAGCTTCTTTTGAAACTAGGGTTTTTTATTCAGTATAGTTAGAACATAGGAACTTATGACTAAGGCCTTAAGAGAGTCTTCTTATATTAGAGAGTACAACTAGTCACATATACACTTTTGGTATCTAATTAAGTAATCCACCAATGGTTCTACATTAGCTGCCATATCTGCAATCCAACTAGGAGTGTTGCCTATTTAAACCCTCTGTATTGCAATTCTTATTGTATCACTAGATCATCTTTACTATATAAATCAGTTGAGAAGGTTTATATACTTATCTGTATTATTAGGACTCTATATCTTATTTCATGCAGTGTATTTTCAGAAGTATCATTATTAGAGCCTTCTGTGTTCCATATATAGCTAACCTAGTTTTATGTAATACATTATAGTTACCTAACACTTGCAGTTAGGGCCAACCTTAAACTGCTATGTTATACTATTTCTATCTTTGTAAAGTTCACTTAAACTCTGGTATCTATCTTCCTGACATCTTCTCTATTATTCTTTACTAACCACAACTCAGAACTGACAGACTCCTTAGATTTCCAATCCAGATAGCCTGATATATTATACCTTAGTATTCTTTTTCTTTAGTGATTCTGGTGGCCTGATTAGTCATATGCTCCTCTATACATCTTGTTATTCAGTTCATCTGCCTGTTCCTATAAAGATGTTTTATAGTTTCCATCAGTCCAACAGCATTATCAAAAGTTTGTGCTACTTCTTTATTTAAGAATTTCTAAGTAGAATTCTATCTTCTTAGTTTCTTAGTCTTCTGCACCTGATGGTCTTATCATGGGTTTGCACTGAAGTCTTATGCAATACTAGTTATTAACATTCTTCTATGTATGTATAACATTACACTTCACATAAATGCCTCAAGCTCCTAATGATGAGTAGATCTAACTTGGTATACCTGAATTATAGCCACATAAGGCCAACCGATCAACAAAAAACAGTTTCCATAATATAGGTTAATTTCCAAATTTCATCATAGATAGAATTTGAATCTTAGACCTGCTACTTGAAAGATGACAACCCAATCACTACACTAGGATCACCATCTTCTTCAGGTATTTAATTTAATTAATTATGCAGTTAATTTTATATAGTATTTATTTTTAGTAACTATTAATTGTATTTTTCTTTTTTTAGTTAATCTATAATTTTTGCAAAGTATATATTTGTAAAATTTTCTGAAACTAAAGATAGAAAAAAATAAAAAATGTTATACTGTGCTAACTTAATTTCTACTTAAAAGATTTAGTTTTAAGATTTAAGACTTTTAAATAATGTTTAAGATATAGGTATAGAATAAATTAAAATAGTAATATAGAAATAAGAATAAAATAAAATAAATTTACTATGAACTAGAGTTTAGATAAAAAATTAAGTTGATATTTGTAATGGTTTATGCTAAGAAACTTTTAATTTAAAATAATAATAACCTAATATCAATATAATTTTCAAACAGATAAAAATTTGTATCTAATTACTTGAGAATAATTCTCTTTAGCCAATATTGCTTACTTTTCTATATATTAATTAGACTCAAATCAAATCTTGAATTTTATTAATTCAAAAAGGTAAAATTTATATATTATGAGAAGTAGAATGTTATTATTTAAAATTGTATATACTTTGCTATTTCTACTAGCATTTATACATATATCATTTCTATTTACACTGTTCACTTAAAATTATACAGGATTTATTCTAATTCGAACATAATTAACAATTTGAGTTTGAAATTTTAATATAGATTATGTGCAATTCTGTTCAATACTAAGTTTTGATATGTATTTATTAATAAATTAATTATAATAAAAGAATTTATTTACAAATTAGAACAATTTATTAATATATATAAAATAAATTATATATCTTATTTGTCACATTTAATTTATTTTTATAAAACAATTGATAAATTTTAGATTTATAAGAATGGCTATTACATCAACTTTAAGTTTATTTAATAGTATTTCATGTAATTAATAGTAAAAAAAATTTGATGCACACATGTGTATTTTATACATAATTTTTTTACACAAAAATATATATATATATAATTGTATGCAAAGTGCATATAACTTTTTAGCAATATGCTTTAAATAATGCATATATATAGTTAATATATGTAGCATATAAACAATAAATTTAATTTTGGATCTGAAATTTTTTTTTTTTTGATTCTGAATTTTTTTTTTTCTTGATAATTAAATAAAAGTTATTTGAATTAGATTATCTAAAATTAAAATAGCAAAAATAAGTAAAATTTGGGGGTGTGGCGACCTAGTGAAGTGGATAGGTTGTCAACCCCCAAGTGGCAAATCTAGAGTTCAAATTCCAGTGACGGCGAAAATTTGCAATTCTTTCTGTGTTATGGCTAACTGTCTTCTGTGATTGGTTGGGATAAGATACCTGTAACCCGTGTCATACCAGCCTGACTGGAAGGTCTAAGG